TTTTACAAAATTTTAAACCATATTAAAATGTTTATGCTTTCAAAATAAAAAAAATTCTTAGAACTAACATTTGTTAACATTTTTTATGCGTATACTGTATCGTGTCGCCAAAAGTCTGTTTGGCGAGATTTGCGCCGGCGAAACGGAAAAGTAACGTAAAATCTTTGATGTTTTCTTCTCATCCCCTTCAGTTTTAATTATATTGAAGGTTCTCATTTAATTTAAGAAGCAAGACATTATATTTATGTACTTTATTTTATTTATTATTATCATTTTTATTTATTTAGCAAACTAGAATATACTTTTAAATTTAAATGAATTCATTTGAATAACTAATATACCTCAGTATTTTAATAATAAAAACACAAAGAAGCATATCAATATGAAATGTAAAATTTGGCAAAAATTAAACTTAGCTTGGAGTTGGATAGAGTTTTACTATAAAAGAAAAGTCAGTCCAAGTTTTGTTTTTGGCCTAGGGAAAAAAAGAGTACTTACTCTGTATTCTTTAAAAACAAACTAATATCTAAAAAATATGGATCAGTTAATAATATTTCATGCTTTTCTCTTTTGATTTTTCATTTCATTTTATTCATGGTACTTTTTTTTTTTTTTTTTACAAATTTTGTGATATTTTAGAGTTTGCAGCATTTTATAAGCGTTTTAGTAATTCACTAAACAAATGCAAAGTAGAAGTTTTCAGCATAAGTTGTAAGGAACCAAAGCAAAACACTTCAAAGCGTAATTATGCCAATACGAATTCAAAAGGATGGTCTTACTTAAAATAAAACGATTGATCAAAATGTGAAAATTCTGATTTAAAAAATATTTTATCAGAAGATGAAATAGCTCTGTCTCCCACCTCTTAGTTTCGTTCGTAATCAGTCACAATATCTACAATTAAATGTGTTGCAAAATAAATTTTTCAAATAAAATTACGATAATAAAGTGCAGTAAGGAATAATTTCAAAAGACTACTCCCGCATGCATTTTAGTCTCTCACAGCGGAGGGTAGCTGGTGGCGCCATCTCTGAAATCTTATCATTAAGATTTGAAATTTTTAATAAAATAATTTAAATAAAAACACATAGTTTTCTCCAATATAATTTAATAGAGACTTAAAATAGTAAAATTTATTTCTGATATTTGTACTTTAGGCACAAATTTATTAAGCTGTATGCAATAAAATATGACTGAAAAATTGAAATGTTAATTTTAACTAAATGTTTCGTTTTGTTTCAGAATTATACTGATAACATTTAACATTTGATTTTCATTAAATCTGTATCATGTATTGAAAAATTATTCTGTTAAAATATAGAGAGAATTTGATATTTCTCAAATAAAAGTTGTATGCGTGTAATTTAATGTGTATATTTAACTTATTTGTTTATTTAAAAGGTACGCTAAAATAATGCGCAGTGTATGTGTTTTAAGAAGCTAATCACTTTAGAGAAATACTTATAAGACATGTAAATGGGCAATCAATGATTAGCAAATATATTAGTTACAAGGATCAATGAAAAATGTAACGCATACTGTAATAGGGACCACTGTTTTGTGCTTTGTTTCCTAAGGCGTAAGCTGAGGTGAGTTTACTTGAAGTTCTCCTGGTGCGTGATAGATGGCGCCAGCATAAATTCAGTAGCATTAAGGATTTGGATATATTTAATAAATTAAAAGACAACAAACTTTTAATAATGATAATAAAAATAATAAATTAAAAAATATAATGTACTAAATTTCAGATTAACATCTAAAGAACTATTTTTTTCAAAATATTAAAAATCAGATTTTCAGCTTAATTTATATGCTTAAGCATATACTCATCACCTCTTGAAAGGCTACATTATACTTTATATGTAGAGTTTAAATTCAGCCAGAGGCCAGCTGAGCTATTTCTTAGATTTTGAGAGAAACTGTAATTCGCTAATAAATTATTAAATGTGCATTTCACTGAATTTTAATCACTAAATGAAATCATTACATTTCACTCAACTTTAATTTAATTAGTTAATTATTTTATTATTTATTTTTATTTACTTTTCTTATCATTTCTCGTGACGGCTTTCCATAGGATTCTCGCATTTCTAATTTCAGAAATTAAGCCTTGTCTTAAAATACTAAAACTCTATGGCACAGTTGAAAGAAAAAAGCCATGATTACTTTTATCGGAAAGGTCTTTGTCCCACTATCTAACGCAGAAACGATTATCGCGACCATTTGTGAGAGCACGCCAGATCAAAACTTGCGCAAAGTTAAAGAGTATATTTATAAGAGTAAGAACGGAGAATTTGCCATTAAGGTCGATAGTCGCATATAACAATATAACGATAAGATGAAGGTTAATACAGTTGCCACCTCAATAATGTAAGCATTTATCAAGGAGTTTGGGGAAGGATTGGATTTCCAAACTATTTTATGGGAGGAGATTTGGGGTTCGATCTGAACCTTCTGGAAGTGGGTGTAGCTACCGGAGCAGTGACGCGTACCATATAGCCTCTCCTGTCTCTATCCGACATAGGCCTCCTCGTGGCCTCCGCTGGTAACTAGGTTCACCTGGGCTGATTATGTCGGATACCATCCGTGACGGTCGACGGGAGTTCCTGGAACCGACCATTTGTGGGAGGAGACCCAGGGTTCTATCGAATAACCTGGCTAGACCAATGCCTAGACAGCCTCAACTTCTGCGGTAAATAAACAGTCTTCACAGGACTAGAGCCATCGTTTATTCGCTGGTAAGTTCAGGCTGGGCAAGAACCGTACTGGTATCTGCCCCTTTGTTGTGGGGCCGTTACATGGTTCATATCGAATGTTGTCCGAGGTGGGATGGACTCCCCTTGGTCAATACTGAGAAACGTCGATGTCAATCTTGTGACTTTGTTTATTTTCTGTGGATGCTAGCCGTCTACCAATAGTGCTTGAGTTCAGTTTTCGTGCGAGTGTAACATTTAAAATCCCTCTGGATTAACCGAGGTGGGTGGTGCCCTGTCAGATGACCTCTGGAAGCTGGGGCGTATTAACCGTGTTAAGGCAGAATTCAGTATGCCAGATCTGGGGTCCCTTTTCTAGGGTGCTCTGTCCTTGTGCTTTCATTTCTCGTTAATCTTCAGAATCTTCGCAACCTTATCATCGATGCTGTGTATTTAGTCGTGATATACTGGCAAGCATGTAGGTTGAAATTATTTATTCCATAGATATCTTCCATATCAGCAAAGGTTAACGTCGTTACAATTTGTGAAATGTGCAGCATATTTCAGTAAATTAAAATTTGGCATAGACTGAGTAGTGTATATTTTATATGGACTTTTTAAATGCTACTAAGCATTTCCTACTAAGCTACTAAGCCAAAATCCTTATCCAGCGTTACTTGATTGAGGGCGGGAAAGACCCCTCAGAGCCATAAATTTAGAACGGCCACTGAGTGAATGGAGAAAAAGGAGATATTGATACATTCGGAAGCTATTATGCAACAAAAGTAAATCAACTAGTAAATAAGTAATGATCATAGCAGTCGTTATGGCCTTGTGCGATCAAACGACGTGCAACACAAAAGGAAAGTTTTCTAAGAAACACGTTTCTCTGAGCATTATTTTAATGGGATATTTCTAGTCGCAACTTCTGAGCAGCAGCTGCGCTCAGCAATATGTTTCGTGTATATAGACGCAATATTTTACGATGTTGGGGTAAAAAGTTTCATTTTGGGAGTTTGTTTCACGTAGGAGAGGAACCAATCAGAAGAATGCTCTACACCTGAATAGTAAATGTTTGAGTATCAGTGGGAGACCTTCAGACTGCCTCCCGGGTGATCTTCCTCAAAATTCGGACAGAAAATTAAAATTGAGCTAGATAACCTCAATTCCCTTCGTACTTCATAGGCGCTAGCCTGACTTCTACCTCTATCTATATTTCTGGGAGGAATGTGTTTCTCAGAAAACTTTCTTATTGATTTTTGTACTCAAAAACATCGTCCTATCTGAGAACATTAATATTAATTTCCCTTGCTTTTAGCCAAGATTCCAACGCATGTAAGTGTTTTGATTGTTTAACTGAGCCAATCGATACATTTTACCTTACCATTGATGGATCGTCTGCATACATGGCTGGTGTTGTATTCTGCATGAATGGATTGTAGTTCGGGAGAATATTGCATTAAAAAGAGTCTAAAAATAACCTTTGTGGTACAATTGGTGGTACCTGTGGTACGTCAAAACTGGCTGACTATTCAAATATATCTAGCCGAAACGAAGACGAAGTTTCTATCAGTATGTCATGCTAATAATGTAAATTGGTAATTCCGTATTTATAAGGTAATATATGAGGTTCTCCGGGGAAACACGAGCAGATACTGTAGTTTCATCCCGAAATAATGAACTAGTTGTTAATTTCCCTAGGTGCCTGAGGAAATGTTTTGAGGAATCAAAATTGTTCCCGGTTTTTCTGCATGCTGTAGAAATTTTTGCAGCCACTTTACTAAATGCCGGGAGTAAAGTGATTTTTCGGTAGAAAATTAAGTCGCTATCATCTATAGTCTGACCACTTTTTAATAAACCCCTTGCTAATAAATCTGTATCACGATTATTAACAAGAATGTTACTCCCGATGAATTTGGTATTTTGAGTTACTGATATTTATACTTCATTAATACAGGTCACCACCAAACCTTAGCTTTAATATAAGTACATATAAGAAATCCAAAAATTATAAATGCCGCAGAAACCAATGCCGTGAAATATAGGAGATCGTAAAACAACTTCGTTTTGATATAAGTAACATTTGTTTCTTGCTTACGCTTATTTGCAGCTTAGTGCTAAAGTGATAATTGAATAAAAGCATTATAATGTCTGAAAAGTAATGTTTATGCTGAAATGACATTTACAAAAAGTGGCACTTATTTTTTATCTGTGTAGCAAAAAAAATGTAACTTAATAAATATATAATTTTTTAGTGAAAATTTTGATAACTGGAAATAATTATTGCATTTTTTTGTTTCGTTTCAGCTCATCATATTTTCATTCGGATCCGATACGCTGATGGGATTACAGTGAATATGAAGTCTGCAGTATTAAATGATTTTTTCATGTCATTCCAAATGTATCTCATCAGTGAATCTCAAATTCCATTCTTTCGCTGCATATGAAATGCAATTTTATTTACTCTATACGATTACAATACTCAGAGCAGAAATTCTCAAGAGCTTTGACCTTAATTAATGCTGTCATTTTTCATAAACAACTTACTTATCTTTTTATTATTGCATTACATTATCAATTTTTAGAGAAACAAAAAGTTTCTGCTCTAGAGGATTTTGTTTCCACGTGTCCTGAGGAAAACACGCGGAAAATTAACGGGAACTAAAATTAACTTCTTTTATTTTAATAAACAGAGTTTTTTATGGCTTTGAAATTATTAATAAAACAGAAGAAGCGAAGTTTAAAGTGCTCGGCAATTATAAGTGTATACTTTTTGACTCTACATACTTCAGATATGTATTTATGTACATTTATCTGCGTGTCTGTGTGAATTCTTGTAACTTAAAATTAACGCTTTCAAAGTAAAAAGTAAGTAAACAAAAGTTAAATTTACGTACTTTATTCTCTGTGGAGGAATAATTGTTTCTTTAATTACTTTATTTTGATTACCTAGAAATTCTGTTATTAATTATTTATTTTATGAAAGATCTTTATTTTAAAGTGACTATATGCGTAATTAATTAAAACTGTAAATGTTGAAATTTTATAATTTATTAAAATTATACGTTTGAAAACGTCTGAAAAATGAATGCTTCTGTTAGTGTAACTTTATTGCTGAATTCTAATTTATTAAGAAATTTTCTTCAATACATTTTTAATAGATTTTAAGTAAAGTTCAATAGTTTTAAGTAAAGTTCAATAGATTTTAAGTAAAGTTTATAAAAAAATTAATTTTGATAACATTTCAATCGATATTTTTCAACCTAGTTTTTATTCTTTACGAACCCTAATTGCAATTATCGAAAGCTATCTGTGGTGAAATGTAGCTTGATGTAGCACATTTTAGAAGAATTTGGCTTTCCTTATTTTATAAATGAAATAGGCGAGAAATCCATGTCCTTATTTAAGCTATTCCAAGCCTTATCCAAAGGCATATTGGAATTCTCTCCATTTGTTTTTGGTATTTCTATGAGTTATTGATGAGGTACTTCAGAAAATTATTACCCATTGCTATCTTGCTGAAGGATAAATAATTTTTAATTGACAGGGTAACATACCGCTCGCAAGACGAAAATAAAATAAAACCATTTACACTTTTGAAGATTCTACGTACATTGTGAAAAATACCTAAGAATTTAATTCACTGAACGTTTTAGTTACGTTTAATTTTTATTCAGTTACATTATTCTCTTGAAAGACGAACGGTAAAATTAATCGTAATTTTAACTGGACATTCTGGGTTGCATTTATTGCTCATCATCGAATGCCTACCAATGAATGTGTTTTGTAAATATTATCAATTATCAACAGATAACTTTAAATGAAAAATTGAAAGTTTTGTAATTTTTAATCTAAGGCAACAAATTTGAAAAAAAAAAATATTTTACTTCAGTCTTCTTTAACTTTTTTGTACGTTTTAATGATAATTAGTAGTTTAAATGTCATAAATTAAAAAATTTTCAAGCAATTAGTGTTATGCATGCTTATTTTTGTATTAAAAATTCCAGCATAAAATAAAAATTGAAAGAAAGTAATTTGAGAATCACTGAATATCTAATGTACATATGTAAAATGAATTTACTGCCATGGTTGTAAACATTTATGTAATGATTTAAATACAACTGTTATTTAAAACCGTACATTCATTTGTTAGTTATTTCTGAACTTTTACAGAACATATTGCCATTAATTATTTACATTGAAATAATATTGTTGCGTTTTTCTTTTCTGCTGACACTAGTTGTTACGTTATTTTCTTCCTTCACGTTCGTACGGGGTTTGTAGATTTGGAGTGAATAACGACGACACTTGATGAAGTATCGAAACACACTTTATTTACCAATATTAATCAGATAGCTCCAAAATCACTTTTACAGTCGTCGAACTGTTATAAACACGCTGACACGTTCAGCGACACAGCCTTCACACTGTCAGGCAATAACGGTGGAGACAGCTTCACTGCAAAGCACCAGAGTACAACTCCAGACTCTGCTTGGTCGTTCTCGGAACTCCACGTACTCTCGATACTCTCCACGCGATGCATTCGACGATACACAGTATAGCTCTCGACTCAGCACAGTCTAAGACAAAACTCGACGATGCACTAATTCGCGATACACTAAAAGACTTTCTCGATGCACTCGACGACCAACTCGGCGTTAGACTTCGAGACACTCGCTCAATAAGTGACTATCAGCTCGTTAGACGAGACACACACTCCATACTAACTCTCCTGTGATACTGTTACTTAGGCTGGTCTCAGCGCGAACTTCATCGCGCTCTTACCAGCACCTCAGGTGCCCCTTAGCGGGGACTCCACGCGTACGAGAACTTATTTGGATTGCCACTAATGGGTGAACCAGATGTAGGAGAAAAAATATAGGCCCTTGCCTGTAATTATGGTGTTGCAAGAACACGGAGATGTGAGGGGGTCATAATATGTCCTATTTATGATGCTTGTGTGTGAAATTACTACGTGAAACGGACATTGTCCCTTAGGGCCTTTGTGGACATGAAAAGATGAGAAATAAAAAGTGACTGTGCGAAAGACAGGAATCAGATATCAAATGTAAATAGATGCGTGGCATATGGGCGGAGGTCGAACTCATCTTCTAAGAGCTCATACTTAAAGTTATCGGCGAAATGAACTGTGTCGTTGCTAATCGTTTTGTTGAAAAAGTTATTGTTAATATGTCCGATGTGCGTTTTGATATCTTCGATTTTAAGATCTTTGTGTAAATCCTCGTTACGGATGAACCAGGGCGCACCCGTGATTTTTCGGTGGAAGATATTTTCGGAATGTTTGGAGTTTTTGGAAATCAGACTTAGATGCGGTAACACCAGGCCGGTGAGGCCTACGTGAGTACAGGGCGAAGAATTGATTATAATACGCTTTTCCTTGCGAGATCAAGTTTTGAGGATGCATTGATGATCGGGTTGAGTTTGCGAGCAATACCAGTTGCTTTGCCGATAGCAGTTGATGTATGGGTGTTCTAGGTGAGTGTTGTATTAAATGGCACGCCTAAATAGGTTGCTTTACTAACTTTAGGAATTTTATCATTAAATAGTGTGAGTTCAGTGTGTACGTTTTTCCTTCTATGTCGTCCGATAAGCAAAAGCTGTAATTTGGTGGCGTTGATACACGTTCTCCAGGTACGACACCATTTCTCAATTTCTCGCAGGTGTTAAAAATCCACTACTTGTATGCGTTTAACTGCATTGTCGGGATTTAAAGAACATGACAGAATGGCTGTATCATCAGCATAATATGCTGTCATGCAGTTAATGTTATCTTCAAAAAGCGGGAGATCCATTGCATAAATCAGGTAAAAGAGAGGGCCTAAATTTGAGCCCTGGGCGACGCCGGCCTGAATTTGTCTAGGAGGGAGGAGGAGAAATCACCGTATCTGATGGCAAATGTGCGATTGGTGATAAAAGAATAAATTAATAGAATCATCTCCCTAGTGACATTGAGAGGAAGCCTTTTATAAACAAGCCCATTATGCCAGACGCGGTCAAAAGCTTTGGCGACGTCTAGCATAAGAAACCCCGTCGTCTGATGTTTATGGATTGCAGAACTAATAAACTCCACTATCCTAACCAGCTGCATGGTGGTGGAGAGTCCTCTTCAAAATCCGAACTGCTGATCAGGTAGTGAGCTCAGTACAGAATGTAGACGTTTATAAATAATTCTTTCGAAAATTTTGCCAAGTGTTGATAACAAGCTAATCGGACGGTAGCTTTCTACCCGTGTAAGATCTTTCACGGGCTTAAGGATAAGAATAATCGTTGCATGTTTCCATTCAGTTGGGAAGTAGCTCAAATACAGGCAGGTGTTAAAAATCCCACATAATTTGTGGATGTAGCGACTCGGTAAATTTTTAATCATTTTATTTAAGATATTGTCTTTGTCGGGTGCTTTGCGATTATGCAATTTTGAAATAATGGTGTTTACTTTAGCGGGGACAGTGAAATTTTTAACTCTCCGCGTACCAGCTGGTTTATATAGCTTTTAGCTGGTGTTCGAGAACATTCTGGGCTAAACCGGTAAGAATTCGTTCCAGAAGGTTCTCCATCCGTCCATGGCATATCGCCAATTTTGTCACCAAATGGGCTATTTCTCGCCAAATGAGGCAACCCTAAACCTGCTTTGCGGGAAAGCTATCTCATAGCGCCTGTACATTTCGTAACAGTATTAATGAGAGCCGATTCAATTTTTCGAACAACATAATTTCAAGAGCAAACTCTTGCTACCTCTGAATATTCTTTGAAAAGAGAAGACATCATCTAAAATATTCCTTAAAGGGCAAGGATTAATTAATTCTATGAATTAAATTTCTGAAATCAGTTAAATACCACATCGTGCTATTTTCATCACAACTGTGTTATATACAGTAAGCTCTTTCATAGACTACTATCCGCTGTTAAAGATTATTTTAGTTCTCCATCTTGGAGGCCTTCTGTGTGAATATTATCATCGATAATGGCGAATATCGATTTTATTAACAGATTTACTACTTTCAAAGCTCTTTGATTTTGTTGAAGAATTATATTAAGGTAGATTTGCGGTATATCGGTTTATTAATATTATTTGTATTAATACGACAAATTAATTACAATGATAAATATTTTAAATTGCATATAATACAAATATAGTTATATATGTTTTATTTCAAAACAGGGAGAGTAGATTATGCAATTTGCATTTCTGTATTAACCATTCATCCATTTTATTTCCCCTTGCATTTATTATTTCATACCTATTTTGTGCAGAAACTTCGCTTACGCTACACAGCTGTGGGAGTTGTTCTTACGCTTAAGAAACTTTCCAAACATGCGTTTTCATCTTACTTCTGTTATTTACGTTCCAAGGTACTGCAGTCTTATCTACTGATGTTGTGTACTGCTGATGTACTGTTCGTTCTTCCGAAATCTGCGGCCTATGTTGCCCACTTCTCCTTCGTTCTTCCGTTCTGCCTCTTGGAAGCTGCAGCAAGACTCATACAAGTAAAGTGCCCCTGAGGTCTTCCAATCGGGCACATCGCGCTGTGAGATATCGGCTCTATATGCGTCACGTACTGAAATGTTAATATTACTATTGTATTCTTATTAGAATATATGTTTCTTTTAAAGAAATAATATTTGAATAATTGCCAGTAATATGTCGGTAACCCATGATTACTTTTTATTTGCTATATTCTTGCCATAACCACGTTCTTCGGAAATTAATATTAAATTACTGGCATAGATTTTTCTCTCTTGGTTTCGGATGATAAACCTAGTTAAAAATGGTGCAAAATACACGAGAAAATATATATTCTCCACAGGGAGTATATGTCATTTTTCGAGGGCCAAGCAAAGCAAAAGTTAAAACAAATACCAAGCAATGTTATTTGGCTCAAGAGCTGGAAAATATATTTCATTAAACTGACCAGAATACTGATAAATCTAAATTACTCCTCATTGCTTTCTTAATTATCGAAATGCATGTAGAAATCTCAAAAGATTATCACTGGGGATTACTGGTGTAGATATGTTTATATTATATATAATTGTATAGAACCCACAATCTTATTAAACCTAAAATATACAATATTGCTTTTTATCTTTATGCCAAGCATTGATAAAATATAGACTGATCGGATATTAGTGTTTTCCCCTGTGCAATATTGAATGAAATACTAAATGAAAAAACTTTTGTTTCTGTATGTCTTATTTATTCATTACTTGCTTTCCTTAACCAATATTAAATAATCATATATGTCTCCTAACATCATTAACTAAATATATCTATCATTTGGTTTGGCCATTTTTATGACTAATGGGAAGAAGGCATCGATTTACAGTACCACTGCATCTCTCTTTCATTCGATCATCCTGGCAACCGGAATTCCCAATATCCCTAAACAATCTCATGCTTCCATCGCATCGAATAAATCAGCATGATTGTTAGGGGTTTGCAACAGTCCGTCAACACCAAAAATTATTCAGTCCTGACTTTTCTACGAAGGAACATTCTTGTCAAATCTTAATGTATTTTTCGTAAAAGTGAGAATTTTTACGAAATCTCAAACCAACATGGCTTTCTAAGTTTTAATTTTGTATGTCACATTTCAGTATTAGAAAAAAAAGTGAGAGAGAGAAAACAAATACTGTTTAGATTTACAACCAAAAGGAAGCTTAGAAACAAAAATTGCTGAATACACAATGAACCAGTTGTAACTTTAGTGGAAATAACAACAACAATGTCATTTCCGTTTCATGCCATTTTTCTTTCACGAAAGTTTTATGTTATTACACCTTATTTCTTTTAAACCAAAGGAATTCGATTCAGATTTTCACTTTTATAAAAAAAGACAAGAACTGAAAATGCTCTTCCG